AAATTACTGAGCAGCAATTTAAATATGCCTGCACCTATATACATAATATTTTAAAATTATATATAGTAAATGGGTTTTGCCAAATCAGTATATATTGTTATTATTACTTGTGGTCAGAGTTACTTAGGCTTCCGACGTCTTCATGACCCCTACTGATACCAACCTGATGTGTGCCATGATTTTATGGTCAGAGAAAATAAATATATTTTCCCTCCTAATTTCTTCCATATTACTTATCTGTTCTGCTCAGGCTGGAGAGGTGGACTGCTGGCCTTTAAGCTGCCCAACCCTGAGCTGCGAGTACACGGCAATGTCAGACGGCGAATGCTGCCCGCACTGCGTGGACGACCCCTGCGCAGCAGATAACATCACTTACGACATTCAGAAAACCTGCCAGGACAGGCAGGGGGTCACACGGCTCAGTGGATCTGTATGGACGATGTCTGGGACGCCATGTACAACCTGCATATGCAAGGTACGTGGCCCTCCTGCGCACAATCTATGTCTTATTATGTTTTAATACATTATATATATACACACTGTAGCTCCTTCATATTCCATAGGGCAGTATGGTGGGTAAGTCCGGAGCCCCTTAGTCCTTGCTTTGATTGAGAGGAACCGGACCATACAGGGGTTCTCATGTTCTACCTGCTGTCCTCCCTCCCTTTTTGCACAGACCAGCCAATAACAAGTCGGCCTCCGTATCTGTATGGTTCATGGAAAATGGTCATGGAAGGATGTCCATTCAATGATGACCAAATCAATTCTTTCTTTTAAATTATTTTATATTAATAAAAGGGCTCCATTCAAACAAGAAATTAAATACTTAACCCGCTCATTGCTGACGCAGCCCATTTACCAATACCTTCTTTACCATCCCAACCCCCCATCCCTTGTTCCCCAATCAATACGCCACACAAGACTGGAGTTTAATTGGCCACAGCAGCCTTTTATTATAAATAACTTTATAAATAACATTATAAATACCAATAAAAACAACCAATAACCATACAGTATAAAATTGCTTGGTTTCGAGGTCCTTGAAGGCAATAGGACTAAAAAAACAGACCAGCACTTTACTTGTAACTGAATGCCCCCAGCCGCCATACACCGCCTCGGGGACGTAACTATATTGCCCGCAGACCCACGTTGGTCCCTATTAACCGGTCATACCCTCCGACTACCGGAGGACACACACACCACGGGTGGGTCCCCCGTCAAGATATGCCACCAATGACAACTGCCTCCAAGGACCCAAACCACCAACCCCAAGCATTGACAAACCTACCGACAAGCTTCCTCACTTTAAGTTGCTCACTTGCTGCCGGATTCCCAACTGGACTTCCGGACTCCTCCTTCCTGGCTATCTTCCTGACGCCCCTCCTGGACGACCCCTTCCTCCAATCCTGTAAGTGACCTTTCTATAACCTCTTCGTTCTTTCCTTTAACCCTTTCCTAACTATTGTTCCCCTTCACATCCTTGTCATGCAGGCCTTCCGCTCATTCCTTTGCTATCCATAGCTCCAGGCCTTACTATAGGATTTTCCCTTTAAACCTCCGACACCAAAATGTGGAGCTCTAGTTCCCTAGCTGTGCTCAGTGGTTCCCCCTTCCCAACCTCACATCACTGCTACCTTATAGCGATGTGGGGGTTGGCAGGAGGAACCACAGAGCCCAGTGGGTAACCAGGAGCTCAACACTTCCATAGTGTTGGTAGACTTAATAGAGGCTTAAAGAGACTGAAGTGTTGCTGGAGGGATAGACACTAGTGAGGGCAGCTCTCTGTAAAACAGGTCAACCAACAAAAGGTCACTGTAGTAGCGATGCAAAGAAAAAAAAAAATCAAGCATGAAATGAAAGTGCCAACTAAGTTTAATAGGTCTAGATGATTTTGGTGTAACATAGCGAGTCACAGGAATGGCCAACTCGTTTTGGAGGTCCCCCTTCATCAGAGCATGTGTCAGCAAAGTGAAATTAAAAACATATGTTTAAAGATACATTAGTATATACTTCAAGAAATAAGATGTCATTAAAACAGTAATAAATATGTTCAGAGAAAAATTCTAACTATTATCTGTCTTATTGCCGTTTATCCTTATAACTATTATTTTTATTTTCCTTTTTTTCTATTGATACATTTTTTCTATGGATCTTATATGCATCGTGTTAACATCTTATTTCTTGAAGCATATACTTATATTGTATTTTATCTTTGCATTGTCTGCTGACAAATGTTTATGTGTATGTTGCACTCTTTAGCCCTGATAAAGGGGGACCGGTGAGCCCCCAAAATGCCTTAGAGCTACTCCTGTGGCTCTCACGTTGGCAAATTTAAATCAACTGGACCTTAATTGGCTCTCTCACTCCTTGACCATCTTTTTTGCATGAAGAGACTGTTGTGTGGCATGAGCAGTGGGAGAGGTGTTGTGTGGCATGAGCAGTGGGAGAGGTGTTGTGTGGCATGAGCAGTGGGAGAGGTGTTGTGTGGCATGAGCAGTGGGAGAGGTGTTGTGTGGCATGAGCAGTGGGAGAGGTGTTGTGTGGCATGAGCAGGGGGAGAGGTGTTGTGTGGCATGAGCAGGGGGAGAGGTGTTGTGTGGCATGAGCAGGGGGAGAGGTGTTGTGTGGCATGAGCAGGGGGAGAGGTGTTCTGTGGCATGAGCAGGGGGAGAGGTGTTCTGTGGCATGAGCAGGGGGAGAGGTGTTCTGTGGCATGAGCAGTGGGAGAGGTGTTCTGTGGTATGAGCAGTGGGAGAGGTGTTCTGTGGTATGAGCAGTGGGAGAGCTCCGGACAGACAACACAAAATCCATAGTACAAAAGGAAACATGGTCAGTGTACATGGAGGGGAAGGAATAATTGCACTTGGTTTATCTGCAGAGCAGAGACACCTCAGAGGGATATAATTGACACACGGATATGGCCAGGGGAGAGTTGCAGTTGCTCAGGTGATAGACAGATAACTTCAGGGTTACAAAGTGGTAATGAGCAACGCCAATGTCCACTTATAAAACCTCCATGTGATCAGATCCTCTGTACATTATAACTGGACTGAACTAAGTTTGCGTACCAACAAACCTCATTGATAAAGACACGAGCCGACAAAGGCAGTGCATTCTCAGAGCTAGGAGCGCACGCAGCTGCATGCTCCTAGCTCTAAAAGGGGATGTAGATTTACAATCTCTCAACACAGAGTTTAGGTTCTGGGTGACTTATTCTACGTACTGCGGTCATGATCCTGTTAAAGGGTCTACAAAAATAGATTAAAAATGTAGTTACAGATGGAACCTGGTAGCTCAACTCCTGCCTTTTTATAGTTCTTTGATACTCCAATAGTGAAGTCCTGCTTTCAGAATTCTCAACTTTGTTCCTGTCCACCTGGACGTTTTGGTTGTTCTCGTCCACCTTGTGTATTCCTTATAATTGTACCAGATTCCCTTTAAAATGAATTAAAGACTCAGCAGAGATAGTGGGGGCCCCTCATAATGGGCACAGGAAGTGTGGAGACCCGGGAACTCAGTGCATAGATGGTGGGGACCCCTCATAATGGGCACAGCGGGTGTACAGACCCCGGAAATCAGCACAGGGATGGTGGGAGCCCCTCATAATGGGCACAGTACTTACCTTAGGCATGGTAGGAACCTCTTATAATGGGCACAGCGGGTGTACAGACCTGGCAACTCAGTAACCGGATGGTAGGAACCCCTCATAAATGGACACGTGACCCTGAGAACACTGCACAGGGATGGTGAGGACTCCTTATAATGAGCACAGCGGGTGTACAGACCCGGGAACTCGCCTATAGTGCCCCCATTAAATATAGGCACACTCACCAGCCAGCATGCAAAAAAAAGCCTGTCTAACCACTAAGGTTAAAAGCAGAGGTTTGGATACTATGAGAGTCTCCATCTTGGAGCACGTGGGGCAGAAGATTAAATGCACCCAATGCACCCAATGTAATCTTCTGCCCCATGTGCTCCAAGATGGAGCCTCTCATAGTTTAGAGTTAGGACCGCACTATATGGAAGGAGCCTTGGCGCGGCTGTGCGGCTTTCACATTTTCTGCAGAAGACGTGTAGCCAAACCTCTGTTTTTAACCTTAGTGGTTAGACAGGTTTTTTTGCATGCCGGCTGGTGAGTGTGCCAGGTAAACTTTTTTTCTGTTTGAAGCCCTTCCGTGCGCACCTCGCTGTTAAGCTGGTAATGAATTGATGAGCGCGTTTGTCGTTTGTTTTGCTTCCCCATTAAATATAGGACACTGCCCAGGTCAATACATCCACTAACAGCTGAAACATTAATTTTGGGTGGTCTAGCTTTAACATCATTTAACCCTCTCCATTCTCAGAGAAGCCGAGTTTTAGGTCAGGTTGGGTGGCGTTGCACGTTGTATGGTTTATGAGAACACCAGCAGTCGCAATCATCCTCTGAAACATGTCAGAGACGGGTGAGGAGCTCAGCACGGTACTCTTTTCTTCTGCGCTACATTTCATCTGTGTCCTTGTGCTGGAATTGCTACATTATAAACATTGATTGGGGGCGACTTCCCACTGGGGCCCTGGTGGGCAGCTCATGTAAATGACTGTCGATTTCGTTTTTCTCAGAACTAAGGCTCCTTTTGTTCAATCTCTTTTCCTTTTCTGTTTTTCTCCCCAAACACTTGTGTACCAGATAAAAAAACAAACCAGCCACAACATCGCTTTATTCTCTTCAGACAAGGGGAAATGAAAAAGGATTTGAGGATTTAAAAAACATCGCCTGTAGAAACATCGACTTCCTTGTAGCTGAAGCTCGTGAGATGTGTTCGGAGCTGAGCGAGGAATTTCCGACACGTTTTTATGTCCACGTAAACAACACAGACATTTTAGGGGGTAATCATTTCACTTTGACCAAGGAGCTAAAACTACAAATCATGGGGCCCCCCCGGCGACCTCCTTTCTGTCATTGATCTCAATATAAAGTATGTCTAAATCAAGGGCAGGCAGCATGCGAGTTGTCGGCATAGTCAGTACATTACTAGGAGACAGAAGTGGTCAGGGATGATGCCCTTTAGGCCCCATAGTGATTGCATGGGTTGATAATATACACTGAGTGGCCGGATTATTATATACACCGAGTGGCCGGATTATTATATACACCGAGTGGCCGTATTATTATATACACTGAGTGGCCGGATTATTATATACACCGAGTGGCCGGATTATTATATACACTGAGTGGCCGGATTATTATATACACCGAGAGGCCGGATTCTTATATACACTGAGTGGCCAGATTATTATATACACTGAGTGGCCGGATTATTATATACACTGAGTGGCCGGATTATTATATACACCGAGTGGCCGGATTATTATGTACACCGAGTGGCCGGATTATTATATACACTGAGTGGCCGGATTATTATATACACTGAGTGGCCGGATTATTATAACCACCTGACGTTTGTAGGCTAATTAGCTATAATTTGGCGCTGAATT